ATTGATTTATCATCTTTATGAATCAGGCTCTGTTAGGGGGATGATTAAAAGATGACTTGTACATTCTAGTTCGTTTATTTATTTTTTTGTTCATTTCATGCATAACGCAGACATAAACACACTTAAGTGTTTTAGGATCTCTGCAACTGCACAAATCATATACACACAATTAACATGGTAACATTCAGGAATGATGACAAAAACAAGAGAAAATTGTCTCTAGGATTTATTCTCACCTGCTAAAACCATTTGTAGAAAAAGGATAACTGTAAGGTTGTATACAAAAGTACGTAAAATCTGCAAAATGAAATAATTTTGAACAGATTCGAAAATGCAATTTAATATAGCAATACAACTGACTTGTTCAGGCAGGTAATTCAGTTGCCTAGGAATCGAAGAGCTTGAAAAGAAATAACAAATTCTGCTTACACTTTTGTCAATGAACAATTTCTTAAACTGGTAGAGTTTCCCTTTAAATCCTTTTCTCTTGGACCGCCTAGTTTCACTCCATTTGTAGATGTCAGCTCTGCCGTCCTCGATAAGATCTGGGTCTAGGGTACTCAAAATACCTGATGAACCGACAGGAAACGCCATGGCTAACTGTGTGTGGAGTATGCATAAAACACCTCATTGATCGTGTAAAAAGACTCCTTCTAGCATTACATCCGCTGTTTGTAGTGATATCTTGTACTGAAGGATAAATTTGTTTGCCCGGAGGATACTCAACTGACTACCTCCGAAACCTTACTGTTTGGGGTAAAACTGCTGACCAACATAAGAAGATCGGGGGCTCGATCAGCGTCAGGATGGATTGGGACCGGGTCGTTTCGGTTCAAAAGGGTACAGTGGATTTCCAAACTGTCAGTGAACGCAAAAAAGAAAAAAAAAGAAAAAAAGAAAAAGAAGAGAGAGGAAGAAGGAGAAAAAAGATAGAGGGATTAATTTTCAAGGATTTTACTGGAATTTTCGCCAGGCTCCACCTCACGCAAGCTCAGTTTTCTGAGATTGCAGCTCCTTGATTGGATGAGTAGCCATGAGTTGATCTCTAATCACTGTCATTATCACATTACCAAGCTCCATTTTTCTGTTTTCTTTTCTTTTCGTCGTCACTGTGAATTGGTCGATTGTGATTGTTTCAGCTGGATTGACAAGAAAATAATAATTTTCGCTCGAGGGAAAGGGTAGAGTTGCTAAGCGTAACGCATATACATACAGCCCCTCAATTTCAATGTGATTTGAAGCCAATTTCCTTTGTGTATCATAACTTTCATCTGTAACATTCTCCAGGTGACTGAGAAAATATGAAGGAAAAGGAAGGATATGGAGTAGTAACGTGACGGCGAATTCCATCGTGTGGTTATGCTCGAGCATAATCACGCGATGGAATTCGCCGTCACGTTACTACTCCATATCCTTCCTTTTCATGCTCCAGCCTGCATCATCCCTCTCGGTCATCATCTTTGGCTCTCAAGCGATGCCAAGTGATGTACAATTCGATAAACCGTTTACACCCTAACATCAGTATGCAAGTTCTCCATACTTTTCCTATGGTAACTACAAGGAGAATTTATTCAACAATCAAGTGCTTCTTTTATTGGCGACCTTTTCCTATATTCTCTTGACCCTGATGTTTGATTCAGGGGCGATGCTGTCGGGAGAATTGAGATGTTTATCACCTTAAGGGGTTAAAGGGTTAAAACTCCTCAAAATTGCCGGGAAACGCAAGTCATTAAGTCATCACAGGTTTAAGTTTTGCATCCTACAGGTTGAGAATGAGGCACGAGTCTTCTTGACCAATCAAAACGTGTAGTGAAGTAAAACGAACGGAGTCTCGCTTTCTTTATATCAAACGCGCTATCCACGCCATACTCAACTTCGTTCCCAGAATGCTCTGGCCATCACTAGGGAAGGAAGCGGGCATATCGATAGCATAAGATATTTAACAAGATACTCTCCTAAATGATCATTTACCGCGCTTATAAATTTCATTTTTTATTTTGCATTCGGAAACATTGAAAACCTTTTCGCTGTTAACCTAATTAACTGTTTGTAACACAAGGTGATCTTGACTGAAATCACTCGCAGGAGATGATCCCCTTTACACTCGATGGACATCAAAATAGTCAGAATAGTTTACATCGTATTCAGGAAAATCTATCAAAAAGCTGAGGCCATTCTGGATAAGTCTTTTTTTTTCCGTTTAATTGTTTCGTTCGGAAAAATAAATACAAGGCTCAGATCCATTTTTTCTATAAAAATGTGAATAAACAATAACATGTGAAATTTGCACGAGGGAAAAAGGGTTCGTTGTTCATTTTAAAAGTAAAGTAAATACTTTTCTATGTCTTGTGACTCAAATTTTTAGGTGGAGTTGTTTTTGCTGTGAGTGATGTAATAGAGAAAAAACTTACAAGGTAAACTAATTGTTTCCGAATGGAGTGAGAATAGAAAGTGCCATTTTAATTATCATTTTTTATTACTCCATCAAATGATTGACAATCATGCTGAAGTTTTAATCAACAAATTTGCCTAAAAACAGCTGTTTGTTCCAGAGATATTTTGTTTTTGTCAAGTTGAACTGCGGCATAACATTAACTTGAGTAAACAAATGAGGTGCATCATTTGTTTTTCTTTGAAAGGGAGGACAACATTGACCAATGAAAAAAGCAATTAAAACGGCCAAGTAAAAATTTGATAACCATTTTACTAAGCCTTGGAAAACAAGTAATGGTTTTCACCGGGAGATGTTTGTGTTTGTTCTCATACTAAATTCACAGGGTCAACTGAATCGTGTGCCCATCTCAGGTAGTTGTCTAAAAGGGACATCGTTTATGGTCGCTCGTAAATTAGGAGCCATAATTTCCATTTGAATCCTTGTCAGTGTAACCGTCAACTTACTTGTCACTTGTGACTAAAGTCGTTATTAATTTAACCAAAAAGTTGCCAGAACAAAGAGGAAAATTTCCTTTTTTGGATTTAAGTTCATGATTCAATACCAAAGAACTTGAAATATATCCAACCAATAAGAAGCCAGATCTTTTAAAAGGCTTATCGCTGTCAATTTGGTTGAGATAATGTTGCTTGATGTTTTAACACCTGGCGAACTGAGTACACCAGAAACTTCAGTTTGACCTCTATTTTCTGAACCACGTACTACGTAGCTTGACAATATCTGGCTATTTTGAGATTCATTTCTAAGATGAGACACTTGTGTGTCCTTTTATACTTGGTGTACTTTCTCGTTCAATTGTCTTTCTTTACACTGCCATTAGCCACAGGCAAAATGGGATCTCATCTTGCAAACGCAACTTGTAAACATAACGAATTTTACATAAATGGGAGCCTAATTTTTTCGGGTTTGTTCCCTATACATTACGCTCCGCAGAACACCAGCACATCAAAGCAGTGCCAAGGGAAGTTCAACACCCGTGGCTTCGAGGAAGCCCTGGCCATGTTGTATGCTATTAAGCGAATCAACAACGACTCGAGGATTCTTCCTGGTATCACCATTGGTGCAGACATTAAGGACACATGTAGCAGCGTTGACTTTGCGATCAGGAAGTGTTTGAATTTTAGTTTTATCAGGAATAACATGGAGGATACGATGTGCGAGAAAAAACAAGACCTAGATGTCGTTCACAATCCGAGAACAGTCGCCATCGTTGGTCTGGGCTCCACCGATGTGGCAATGGCGGTTGCCAATCTCGCAGGCCTGTTTTATGTCCCTGTTGTGAGCTATTCCTCTTCGAGTAGACTCCTTAGCAATAGAATTCGTTTCAAATATTTCCTTCGCACGATTTCTTCCGACACCCTGATGGCAAGAGCTGTCATCGATTTCTTACGCGAGTTAAATTGGAATTTAGTCCACGTTTTGTATTCAGACACAGACTATGGGCGATCTGCATTCGAGACTTTTGATCATGTTCTCTCAGCTTCCACTGGCACGAAAATTTGTTTGGCAGTGAAAAGAACATTTACACAACATGCAAACTCTCACGAAATCGTGGCTTTCCTCACGGAAATGCAAGAGAAGCAAAACGCGAAAGCTAAAGTGGTGCTTCTTTTTACGACAATCGGAGACACAGAGTTTATCTTGAGCCATTTCAAAAAACTCAACATGAAGGATTATGTTTTTATTGCAACCGACCATTATGCTGGACGTATAAGCAGGTTTAACAGTTCACCCCAAATGTTGCGACGCATTGTTGGCGTAACACCACGTAAGGGAAACACAAAAGGCTTCGAAAACTTTTTTCAAAAGGTATTAAAAACAGGGAAACTGAGCCAATGTCCATGGTTTCACGAGTTTAAACAACATTATTTGAAACTCTCTGTAGAAATATCCACGTATGTTCCTTACGTTATTGATGCGGTGTATGCAACGGCCTATGGTCTACACAACCTTTTGAATTGCACACGAGAGAAAAGCTGCCAATATCCCGCCGACGAATTTCCGAGTTTGAACAGGTAAACAGTGAAGAGATCTTTCAAGTTTTTGATTCAGATATTATGCGGGAATACCTAGAATTAGTCATCCTAGCTTGTGGGTAAGTGCTGGGACTGGCTCATAATCAACTGAGGGAAAGTGTGTTACTTGGTAAAACAAGAGGATCAGTTAGCCTCGATTTTAAAATGATTTTCACTTAAGAGAAAACATTTCCATATTTTTTTCCGGTTGGTAACCCGTAACATTTTAAATTGTGTGCGCGTTAGTCCACTGTTTAAGTTTATTAAGTCAAAATTATTTAGTTATCGAAAGAAAATATGCTTTAAAACTTAGAAATGCTCTAGTCTATCATAACGAAAGGAAACTCTTTAAACGAAAGAACTTTACACATGAGCATTGATCACTTTCAATTGATAATTTTTGAGTGGCGAAACTTAAAAACGTTCTTTTGTTTAAATTACCTGTCTCCGCACTGCTCCGGTCTGGAATATTTGCATGTTATAAATGAACGTTGCTTGTTAATTAACCGATGCCTTCAATATTATAAAATTTGGTTAAAAATTCGAAGCGACTTTTGACGAAATTTTATAAACATAGTTTACAACGCGATACTATGTATGCATTATTAAGTTTGCTGGAATATATTGGCTAAAGCTATCAATAGTGCCTGAAACTTTTTTGAGCCAAAAAGCAGCACTAAAACAATCACACGTTGGTGCCAGCTACTCCCTAGGGTCACATAATTAAAATTCTCACATTAGAAAAACAAAATGGAATCTTTTAAAGATGAAATATTGTTTATTCTGTCGAATTTCCTTTTTTATCGCAGGAAAAGAGGTGTGCCTTTCCTTTTAAAACCCGTAAGGAAGAGATTGGAATAAGGAATGATTGAGATAACTTTGGAAAAACAGACAATGAATTAAGTTTAAAAAGTAGAGAGCCTTCTAGCGGTGCCGCCACTGCAAACAGCAATGTGTGAAGAACTTTCTAGTTGGTATAATGTTTACCTTCGCGTTGCATTAATGCTCATGAAAAACGTTTCCATATCAATCCTTCAGCTGCCTTTTTTTGACATTCTGAATTTACAAACAAACACAGATCTCAACGAAGTAATATAAATTACATTCAAATGTGTTAGCCAAGTTTTTGAAAAAACTCGACAATAGTTATGAGCAACTTGTACACAGCTGTAATGATAAAACCTGTCTGTGAATTTAGCTGTGTGATACGTTTTCCTTTCCAAATCATATGTAAATTTTATAGCCTACACAAACAATGAGCAGCTGTTATCATCGCTGACCAAATAACACTTTAGGGCGACTAAAATGTAAAATTTGTTATTCATGTTATTCTCCTGCAGCAATCAGTTTAGTTGGCGTATCGCTTTCTTTTGTTCAAAGCGCAAATTTCCTGACCATTTGTTGCAGGTTTTAATCGGTCTGCCATCGAAATAAATTTTCTTTTAACCGAAAACGTCATCTAGGTATGTTAAAGAAAAGCGACAGATAAATTGATGATTTGGAAAAGTAATTGATTTGAAACGGTTTTATAATAATTCATGTTTTTCACCAAAGCGACATTTATAATGGAATATTAATTTCGTAAAATTTTCTAATGCTATGAAAGACCTTTTTTGATGTAGTAGCATTGCCCACAGCACACAACGTTTGAAAATCCAATCGCACTGGTCTAAGGTCGTAGGTCTTAGGTCTTAGGTCTGGTCTTAGTAAACAGTTCTTTTTAGTAAAATTTCGCTGTTTCTGATCGTTTGTGACAGCGAAAGAGACGTCTTCCAAGGAGCAAGTTGTTATTCATCGCCGGGAGACTCGTAAGGTTTTGGCTGTGTCACAAATTTAACTCACCTGTTTCATTCCCCCCCTCCCCTCCTCTAAGGCTTTATAGCATTCTCATGATCCGTCCTTATCGGAAGGTAATTTTGTGAAGTCCCTCCGTTATATTCTGTTAGCGACGACCTTTCCCCGGCCAGTTCCCCCTGAAAACCATATGATCCCTGCAAAATCCCAATAAGGCATCCATTATTCTCAATTATTCGGCATATAGCTGTTAACTCAACCTTTTATTGTTGTAGGGACGATGGTTTTCTCAAAAGCATTCAAAATGTCAAGTTCCCAGGATTGTCACGCGATCAAGTTTCTTTCGACGCTAATGGCAACGGCTTGGGTGCTTATGACATCACGGTGGTCAACACAGAGACGGAACAATGGGAACCAATCGGGAGCTGGGTCTCTAATACGTCCAACGTGCTTGATCTACCCGTGAATGTGTCATTTCTTGACTTGGACTTGACAAAACTGAGAACGTTATGGAGAAAGGTATTTAACAGCACCGTTGAGCCCACTTCATTTTGCGGTCAGCAATGCCCACCAGGACATTGGATGGTTTCAGATGAACGTTACCAGGTCTGTCATTCAGTACCATTTCAACCGGCTTTAGCGTGTTTCAACCAGTTTCATCGGGCTTTTTGGCAGATAAGAGAAAGATACTGAAATACTTCATTCACTTTCTTTTCTGGCTGTTCCCTTCTCAATTCGATATCTTTATCATTTGCTGAATTTGTCTGATTTTTGTTATAGCCAAATCATTTATATGTACACTTTATTGGCAGGCCAACATAACGGAATTCTTCACACTATGGTAAAAAAAACCTTTTCTGATTTTCCTTTCTCTCAGAGCTGCTGTTGGAAGTGTGCCCCATGCTCCACCAATGAGATTTCTCACAATCCTGTGAACGGCTCATGTAAGCGCTGTCCTCCTCGCTATTGGCCAAACGCGAACCGCACTGCCTGTTTACCCATAATTCCAACTACCGTCAAGCTGAGTGACCCAGCCGGTATATCGGTTGGCGTGGTTGCAGCGTTAGGTGGTCTGGGCGTGTTGTCTATCACGATTGTTTTCTTTCGTCATGGTAATACACACGTGGTCCGTGCGTCCAGCAAAGTCCTTAGCTACATCATGCTTTTTGGAATATCTTTGGGTTATTTGGCGGCTGTTTTGATTTTGCTGGAAAGAACAAAAACTCTATGCCAAGTCGTGCTGTTTTTGTTTAGTATCGGGTTCTGTATCGTGGTGGGAACACTACTGATTAAGACAAATCGGATACACCGGATATTTAGTAAAAATGCAATGAGGAAAGGTATGTTATATAACTTCCTTTTTCCTTGTCCTTTTTTTCCTCGGTTTAACCTAATAGGCTTGATAGTCTTTACGATAACATCGAGACAAATTTGAGAAGGCTGGTTGTTTGTATCATGCGCTCCAAATCCCCTTTAGATCACCAGTGAGGCTTCGGTAGCTATTTTGTTGCGACACGAGGTTTCGTGTTTCAAACTTTTTCAGATCGGCGTGGCTTTTTACTCCTTCTCTTAGCACTTTGTTGTGGGAGCGGTTGTTAGATCGGTGAGTTTATGTAGCTAATTGATTTTCCTTGCACAATCAGAACCGAGGAGGAGGATGTATAGAAAATACTTTTAAGACTAATGTACTCATCAACAGTTTGCCTCAGGATGGATACGGTGGGGTACCCACGGCAAATTGACTTAAATGACTCCCCCTTGGGTAGAGATTTTGACATTTACTCACTGCTTTAGGGTTTGAAATTTGATCTAACTACCATCGTGAAAGATCACATGAAACCGAATCTTTGGTCCCCAGGAGTGGAATTTGACACATACTGAATATGACATTTGAATATGACATAGAATTGTTAAATTTTTCTGGGGCTGCTTATCTCCCCCTCCTCCATCCTGGGGCAAACCATTGTTACAGATTATTACAAATTCATACTTACCTTTTTTAGAATACAAAGAGTTCTTTTATTTGTTACAGGTACCCCACCATGTTTGAGCGACAGATGGATGGTAACCTTCATAATCGGCTTTGTTCTCACGGAAACAGTCATATGCGTCATTCTGGTGCTTACCAATGGTCACCTCACAGAAGTCGTTTATTCTGACACGAAAAACGAAGCTTTCATTCAATGCAAATTTGCATCCTTTGCTAATTACAACATTGCACTGTGGTGGGGTTTCAATTGCGGTTTGGTTTTAGTTTGCACGTATCAAGCCTTCCTCACGAGGAAAGTTCCCGGGAATTACAACGAAGCGCGCTTCATAGCTTTTAACATGATAACCATCTCCACAGATGTGCTGATGTTTTTCCTTTCCTATTACGGCACTAAGACGTACTACAAAGACATTCTTGTAAGTGCTTTCTTGATCGTGGCAGATACTGTCACGATCACGTGTATGTTTTTACCAAAAGTTTACGTGATCGTGTTTCGTCCTCAGAAGAACGTGGACTCCAGATCGACAGTCAGCCTGGGAGCTTTTGATACTGACGATGACGAGGGGCAACTCGACAGGAAAATCAGTAGCAGGTCGAACACGTCAGTGCTAAGTTCTTTGTCAACTCTCAGCGGCAGCCAGGTAGAAACGAGGAATAACTTAACTTACCACGAAAACAATCTAGAAAGTAGAAGCAGAAAGATATCATCGGTTCTTACGAACGGTGATCTCCACAAATCCTGGAACTCAGATGGATGTTGTGAGCGTCCTGAAGTTGAATCACGTGATTCAAATTTGAGCGTGCGCACTGTGCGATTCGAGGACGAAATTGATCCTGATTTGATGACAGATACTCCAACTTTTCACGACAGTTTTCCAGAGCAGTTTGAGTATCGACGCAGGGAGTCGACTATCTGAGCTTACTTCTGTCGTAAAGACAGAGATCTTAACCTGGTTGATTGTCATCGATTTTGAAACTGACTATTCACCCATCTATCCAAGTTTTTGTCTTTCCTTTGTTTAATATACTTTCTTCGTCAGTCAGTCAACTATAGGCCAGTCCAGTCATTCATCCAGCCAATTTTTCTTTTTCAGTAAGTCAGTCGGTGGGTCGACCGGTCGGTCGGTCTATCAGTCAGTTAGACAGTCTGCCAGTCAGCCAGTCAGTCGGTCAGTAAGTCAGTTGGCCAGTCCATCAGTCAGTCATTTAGTTAGCCATTCGGCTAGTCAGTTAGTCGGTCGGTCAGTGAGTCAGTTAGTCAGTCCATTAGTTAGTCAGTCAGTAAGTCAGGCTGTCTTTCAGTCGGTCAGTCAGTCAGTCAGTCAGTCAGTCAGTCAGTCGGTCAGTCAGTCAGTCAGTCAGTCGGTCAGTCAGTGTCTCAGTCAGTAGGTCAGTTGGTCAATCGGTCAGAAAATCTGCTGAGGTGCGTGTAATTTACCAGAAAATTCAATTCGAAACTCGGACGTTGGTTTGTCTCTTTAATTTTTTGTCGAACAATGCAATGGTTGATGGGAAATTAACAGTAAAGAGGAGTATAAAGTGAATGACCATCTAACCAGAGTTTTTCCCTCCCTTCAGATCGCTGCCTCATTTCATTCGGCCATTGATTGTTTTATCCTAGAAACTTCCTTAGAAGCGGATATCTCTTTTGACAGAAATGCACAGTGGATGCTTGTGACAAAATAAAGTGAAAAGATTTTAGATTCGCATGGAGTTTCAATCATGATCTTTATACAGTAATCTAAGACTAAAATCCTTGATTGTAATTCGAAGAACAAGCATAGTCGCACTTTAGCTGACAGTAACTGGCAGTCTTCGCTGGATAACAATTGCCGAGGACAAATATTTAGTTTCGGTTGTTTACCTAAAATTATGAATTCGTCTTCATCGGTTGACGGGTAAACGTACATCGAATAGAATTCCTTTTTCACTAGAACAATTATTAGTGGTCAAAGGGTTTTTTGTTAGCTGATTTGATCTGAACAAGCGAATGGCAAAGAAAGTTGGGAGTAGAAAAGATCGTCTTGTTAATAATGTGATCGCAAACGAAAAGGAAGACCATCTGCTGAACTCGAAGCTTGCCGCTCTGGACTTACAAAAACAGAAGGAAATGGTGCGTTGGGAGACGGAGAAAAACAAACTGAGCTTACCAAGTCTCAAAGCAAATGGTAGAATTTCACCGACCCCTCCATCTTCCCCGAACACATCTCCAACACGTAGCCCTGTATTACAGCGACGGAGAAGCGATCTGATAGCCTCAGAAACTGCGTTAAGACCCCATAGCCAAATGATGATCATGACTGAAGGTGTTTGTTTGCGTAGATCCAAATCCTCACAAGACATCAGGCTTAACGCTGGTTCAAAGCCTCCTCCCTATCCTGTTTGCGGACGTCCAGGAGCTGTAAGTCCAAGACTTCTTTATAGGAGATCGACAATTGCTCAAAGCCGTCTGCACGACGAAGAAATTGCTCTCAGACAAGCCTGCGCGGAAAGACGATTCTCAGCTGGAGTTGTCCCTTCCATTCGCGTGGAAGAAAGCGCGGAATCCCTCCATGAAAAAGTTAAGAGATTCAACGAAAGTCTACAAAAAGCAAGCAAGGAATCCAACCGAAGCGAGAGCAGCACGAACTCAGTTGACGACGACTCACCACCGACCGAAGAGTTGTTGATCCCACTTAAACCTGTCACTTTCAGGTCGAAGTCATTACCGAATATAGTTCCGATGCCCGGCGAGAAATCGGCAGAAAATATGACTTTTTACGAAGACATGAAGAGATGCAGGTATTTAAGGATTCCCGATATACCACCGTTGAGTATTGAACAAGTCTTTGACAAAGATTCAAAGGAAAAAGCTGCACAAAAATAATCGAGACTTACAGCTACCTCAGAACTTGAAAAAGATCGTAAAAGGATAGTAAATTATAAGAAAGGTACACGATTGAGAAGAATATCAAACATCAGGTTCTTATCTACTTGACGCCAATAAACTGGAAACCTTCTGGAAGTTGCCTTGCCAACCTTCTAATGGTTTTTTTTCAAAATGCAAAAAAAACAGTATTGATAAATGAAGGCTCGAATGTTTTTCTAGCAAATTAAAACAACTAATTTCTCAACATTTTTCTTGTGCTTTTGCACCATAAAATTTTGCTATTGCTACTTTAAAAACGTAAAAGAAGTGTCGACGATTTTGTCACATGTGCCTAATATGGCATTCCAACATGTAAGCCATTGATGGCGACGACGAAATACGTGCGTCTGAGTAGATTATAATGTGTATTATTTGACCGTTCAGCAGCCTGGATCGGAGCATGAATTAGACCATAACCAGCTCGTTAGAGCACCAGCTGATTTCGTAATTATACTAAGTTATTTGTCAGATTCTCTTGTTCTGTGAAAAAAGCGTTTTCTTTTTCAGTATTTACAGGTAAACTACTCGAGTTCAGAGTCACTGAAGATCTTTTTCGCCTCGAAACCTTTGCACTATTTATCCTCACGAAAACAGTGCAGACCTTTCTCGCCCAAAATCCATAATGACTTCAGTAATTAAAAAATTAATGTGCGCCGAATTCACCTCGAAAAAAACGATAAATGAATGCATGAATTAGTTGTCAATTTAAAATGAAAATGAATGGATTAAATATATGTGTTGCCGGAATAGTCCTAGGTCTCAATAGTTATAATCATTTTCAAAGAAAGGGCATGGTCTTCTTATAGAGCTGAATATTATAAGATGTTGAACCTTGCTGTTGTTTTGCTGCCATTACCCAAATGGTTCGATGCATATGTTTGGGCTTAAGCAACATAATGATAAGTATTTTCCACAAGTGAAAGTATTGATTGAAAGCATGTTAAGTGGCAATTTCTTATCAGTGGACCAAATGACAGTCTTTACAGTGCAATCTGTCCCAGATGGGCTCTAACACGCAAAGCGAACTCTTAAGCGGAGGATTTCTGGGGAGTAAACCGAGTCACTTCTTACATTTGTCTGTTTCTACTCGTCGCGACTCAGTCGACTTTTGCTCACTGAACTTCAAAAAACCGTCAGTAACGCAGGCTATTTGGTTTGCCGTCGCGTGACTCTAGCTATAAATAGGCTTTTCTGCTCATTATTTTTAAACCTGCCGCCGTGAGTAATCCGCTTTGCACCTTGTTTCAACACACCGCACTGACCTCACTAGGCTCATTTCCGTGATCAGCCTGTAAGAATTTTGCGTGCGTGCTTTCCTGTTTCGCAACCTAATTACCTGTGCTGATGTTGGGTAATGTGAAGACCGTCGGAAGTACAAAGAAAGGTGCCGGGGTTGAAAAATAAAGATTGAACAGGGATTTCAGCACTTAATACAAGGTATATGCCTCATTCCTCTTGTGTGCTACCTGTCAGGTGAATTCATTTGCCACGTACGCACTTTCTCACTGACTTAACCTACAGATGTTGAAAGACAGTCAGGTCCTCTCCAACAAACCTTGAAACAAAATGGACATAATGGATATCATCAAGCTTCTTCGTCGGACGGCAGACCGATTAATCGAGATTCAATAACACTTCATGAAGCTGATTTAGCTACAGAACGTTAAAAATAGCTCATCATTTTCAGGGTGCACGTTTTTGCCTTTACTTAGCTAGCCATGATTATCGAATGTTCCAGAGAGCTTTGGCAAAACACGCTGCCGTAAAAACTTGTTTATTCAAGAATTAAATTCACGTGCCAGACGATAAGCCTCGCGTTATTGACCTTCACCCCTTAAGCTGCTTCGTTTAATTTAGTCTTATTCAGTTGTCAACAAGACTTCTACGAGAAAATCATTTCTGTAGAGTAACGACGGACTTTCATTTTCATTCAAAGAGTTGGTGGGCACAAGCAGACCCTCTATCGAATCAGTGGAACTGAAAAACAACAGCAACTGCACAAATGTTTATATAACATTTATTGGCGAAACAAGGGGACTAAGATAATTTAATAACCACACCTGGAATGCTTAACGCAGCTTGATTGCTTTTAATAACCACGATGTGCTTATTAAATGATATAAAATTCATACAATTTATCCTTTAGAACCTTCGTCAGTGTTTTAATTTTCCATATTATTCTCTGTAAATCTCCTATGTTCCTTACAAGGAGAATTTGTTAAACAGCCAGGAGCCTCTTAAGGAGACGATCATTTCTTTCATTCCTCATGATCTTAACGTTTGATTCAACAGCGATGCTGTAAGGAGAAATTAGCTGCTTGTCACTCTTAAGGGGTTAGAAGGTTAAATTAAACAACGTAAACCATTTGCCTTGTGGGCCTCAAGCGTGGCGGTGAAAGCAGCAAATTCACTGTGCAGTCTAAGCAGACTTGAGTGAAGGAGGATCTTTGCATTTTTAAGGTACGTTTTGCTGAAATTTTTACTCTAATTAAAAAAAAAATGTCGTTATTTCTCGCAAGCTTGTGATAGAGATTATTAAGCAATATACGTACTTTTGTCGGACGTTTTAAGGTATCCGCAGGCATTCATTCTTCGTTACGGTAAATGCCGAGTTTGATCAGATTGCAAATTTGTCCAAAACCTGCCCTTGGTTCATTATCATCGGTGCTTAATTTTATTAGCGACTGTCGCTAGTGAAAGCGCTAAAATTATACCACAATGCAACATTAGATTCACAATATATCAGCAATTTTTAATCGCCGGAACTGCATCAAGCAGATAAATGATAGCGTGAGTATTTATCTTGCGAGTTCTCCTCTGTCTGAAGCAAGACAGAGTATGTTTCCATTAGCTTCTCTTGTCTAAACTCATTGAATTAATTAGCACACTTTGCTGTTCACATCCTTGATTTAATTCTGGTTTTGTTACGTGACCCTGGCCCAACTTAGACAGACATGTTACAGCTCACGGCATCAGTATGCTACCTGGGTGTGCTCATTATTCCGACATTTCGCATGTTAGTAGAGGTCTCTGCTGCAGTGAAAATACGCATCGATCTCAGATTTAGAGCCGGCAAACGCGCTTGCATGAAGTTCGAGAAACGCCGAGAAAAGCCGAGAAAAGCCCTGAAACCATCCGAGAAGAAGCAGATGGACTATAGCATTGTAACTCATCGGCTGAGACCAAAATTATCCTTTAACTTGTTAAGATCGGCAGTGTTATATGTAAGAGGCTCCAAAACAACCAAACATGAGTTGAATATTGATTTTAGCGGGACAGAAATCGCAAATGTGTTTGGAAAGATAAAGTAGACATGTGTTATTCTTGACTTGTTTTTCTTAAGGCGCTGTGTAGAGTATTTTTGACCCTTGAGGGCTCTGTATATCATCCCAAAATAGGTTTTTAATCATTTTTCCGGATTGCGCCGGTCATGTGTGGGAATATCGATGTCAATTATTTTTTTTTATTAAAGGAAAATTATGAACAATACCAAGGTTTCCGTAGATAACGTTTTCAAAGTGTTGTCGTGTTTTTGGTGACCATTAACTGTGACACGTGTCGACATTAGCGATAAAATTAGGGTCGACAGTGCTCGCAATTCAAAATAAGCTTATTTGAGTAGACAGGGATAACGTGTGAGTATCGTTTAACACTGGCACATGTTGACTTAGAGGACACATGCATGACTTAACAGTGGAGGATCGAAAACGGGAATTGGTGATATTTTCAATAACAATTACAGTCCAGTGTTTCAGTGCCGGTTTCTCATTCGCTTGACAAAAAAATAAAGAAACGCTACGTCAGTCGAAAAACCGCTCAAAATAATTTGCATGATCTAGTGAAAACTCCATTAATCAGTAGCATTTACTAACACAACAATTTCCCAACCCTCTCTGTGTACTAATAGTTCATCCTCCACCCCTCCTTCAGTAACAACAGTCTGCCTCCCACCCCTCCCTGAGAACTGATAGCCTGTACCCCATCCCCCTCTTAGTACTAATGGCCTGCCTTCCCCCGATAAAATGGTCCCAAAAATGGTCCCAAAAATGGTCCTGATAGAGCTAGGTCTCTAGAGTACATATGGGGAAAAACAAAGCTAAATTCAGGAAATGATAATTCTTAGCATTTATTAATATATGTCAATTACTGATTTGTTTGATAACATGCAAACACAACAAAAGGTGATATAACAGGTGTAGACAGAGAAGTTATCGTTGCCCAATTCCTCACAGCCCACACACTTTAACTTTATTTGTGCAATTCGTTTTTTTCTGCCTACCTTTGCATAATATTTTGATTTGGCCTGCAGTTAGCAGACACTTATCAACTCATAAATAAAGGGGTTAGTTCCTAAAGAAACTGTGGTGCTGCGTCGGTGGGAAAGTATAGCAGGTAATTTAGTGTTAACAACTGAGTTAAAAAAGGTAAATTAGCCACCGTAAAGGGTAAAAAAGGCTGACGTTTCGTCGCTCTGACGAAGGGCTAACGCTCGAAACGTCAGCTTTTTTACCCTTTACGGCGGCTAATTTACGTTTTCAACTCAGTTGTTAACACTAAATTACTTATCAACTCAGACTCTTTCAGAAATTTGAAAGAGATTTCGTTTTCTCTCGAGTCTTTGCGAAGTATCGAAGTCGTATTGTCATTGTCTCTGAGAGGGCTTATTGTAATTTGCGAAGCGAAACAAAGTGAAAAAATGTTTTAGGGTGAGATTAACTAAAATCGGTAAAATCGATTTGCGAAAGGTAAATACTTCATTTGTGAATTAGAAATCTGTAATTTTCGAAAAAGGCAACTCTGTTATTTGCACTTGTGTGGATTCAATGAATAAATGCAGTGGCTATATGAAAGCAAAATTGCGCCCTTAAACCATAGAAGGCAAACATGTCATTTGAAAAATTATCTAGCGCTGAAGCTGTGCTTTAACCTTCCATGTACGAAGAGAAGACACTCAAGCGCGTCTTCATTGTATTTAAAGGGGAAAACTGTCAATCTGAAAAGAGAGAAAATTGCTTTCTACGGTTGTACCAACAACGATTTTATACGTTAAAGGTATAAACTTTAAAATTGCGATAGCGCTCGTGAATTCTATGCTGCTAAGTTAAGGCCGGCTAAGGACCGGAAATTCTGTGATCTCGTCTGATAAGATCAATGACAAAAGGAAGATAGATAAATTTAGTAATAGTTTACCGTAAACACAAAGGGAAACGTGAAGCAACTGATGGTGCACAAGTCGACTCTTAAGGCACACGCATAACTCAACAGTGGACCAAAAAATAATCCAAAAAAATTGGTCCAAAAAATTGTCCAAAAAATAGTCCAAGTGTCCAATGGTCCAGTCCATGTTTTTCAATGCCAAAAATATCTGTTAGTTGGTTCTGGGTCATACTCGTGACTTCTTAAATTATCAAGCCGGATATCGTGGAATGAGTGTGATGCTGGATTGGGGAAACAAGAAAGAGAGGCTGAACGAAATCCTGTATTTTTCAGGGGTGTGGGGAAGAGAGGGAGCGAGCTCTCTTTGAAATCGAAGGTTTACTAAACAAGCAGTTATATTTATCGTTAAATCTATGTTTTATGCCCATTATCTGATCGTCAAAAAAGCCAGACTAATGAGATCTCAACTGTTGATGGGAACAAAGAAAAATTATCTACAGATTTACTCAAGCCTAAAGCGGAGCTCCAGAAAGTTAAGTAGTTTCTGTGTAAAAATTTATGGACTAGTTATCATTTGCGTCGACAGGAGGGGAGGAGGGCAGGGGGAGAACTTGAAGAGTTGATGATATTTTTTAAATATTAGAGGGGCGGCCTTTTTTGTCCAAAAAAGAGTGAGTTTCATTTCTAACAGTTTACTGGACAGAGGGAGTGAATGTCACAGTGGTAATAGTGTTTCAATAGTGGTCAACCTTAAAGCGCAAAAATTTTCAAATTAAGCCGAAAAAAAAGTTACAATTAATCATCATTGCTACTTGACTTAAATGGTAAAAGAGAGCGAGCCCCCCCCCCCCCCCCCCCCGAGTAAATGCGTTTAGGGACAATGAAAATTATTCATTGACTTTTCAAAACAATTTAATTTAATTCTGTAAACCGCAGAAGAAAGAAAGTAATCGTTAGCCGTAACATTACTTAAAAATTTTAGCTGGTGACCATAACAGCCATCAATCTATCAAGACTCTCCAATAATGAGCACACGTCTAGAACAAATATTCAAATGACGGCATAAATCAGATCGCCTTAAAGGGCGGCGCGGTGCCAGTTTTTGTGACAAACTAAGGAGCGGAGTTCGGCAAAGCTAGCACAGACAATCTCAGATAACTTTTGATATTCAATTGAAAAATTTTCTGATAAACCGTTGTTTGCACAGATCTAACCATCTTACAACAGTGTTTCTTTGCAAAAGTCGACTGATATTTAGCTAGCAGCCTCGATAGCTTTTCTGAGACACTCTAGGAAACCTCTATTTTAATGTGGTTCTGTATCCAATGTAGAATCAAATAACTACAAATCGAGTCCAGGGTATTGGTTCTGCATAAACGGGTGGTAATGGCCTGACGCCAGATGAAACACGTGCAGCATTGCGAATCACTGACCCTTGGATATTATTTTAAAAAAAACAAAAAAACCATTGAAACTTTGTTAATTTCAGCGCGTGGGTCAAAAGAGTCGTTAGCGTTGTTGTCGCTTAGTGCACGAATATTTACTCCATAGAACCACGACAAATGTCGAAGTGAGAACCGTGTCCAATTAAGAAGCTAAGATCACGGGAAATAGGTAGGTGCAAGTTATTAGTCTGTCTCAAGACTTTTACAAACATGAGTCGATTCTCAAATTACGCCTTGTAAGCCCCAGAAACTGCTCAATAGACTCTATTGTGAATACTTGCTGAATCGTGTCTCTAAGGGCATGTCGAATTCAAGTTGTAAATAGAAAAGTTCGAGTTGAGAGTTTGAAATTATGTAACTGTAATAGCCGCAATTTTGGACAGTTGGACACCGCTTTAGTTAGGATGCCTGTGTCGTGAATTAACTCTCTGGTGTGACCACAACTAATACTTAACAGATGGCTATAGAAAACCCATTGTGTTGCAAGTGGATTCGTTTCACAAACAACCACATAGCGAGATTTTTAAAGGAATCCTCAGCTACATCTCACATCTTCATCTACCAGTGTGCAACAAACCACGCACGCACATATACCTGGGAGTTTATCAAATTGGAGACCACAAAGAAACTCACAAAAAAAAAAAAACTAGATAGAATATTAACCTCTTTGAATTTTAGGAAATGCAATTTGGAACCGGTGATGAACTATTCTTCAAATTCTGAACAGGCACTATGAGATCCTTTACGGCAATAGGCGCGATGTTAGCAACTTTCTGTCCAGGAGGATAAATTTTGGAAACTTGACCAGACTGAGTCATAACAGTCATTAATTAATCTCAATGATTATTTCGCAATAAT